TCATCCCGAGGTCAATACTACACCCGCTCCTGGCACCGAGCTAGAGCAACTTGATACAACCAGTGATGCACCTGAGCCCACAACAGGTTCTTCTTATGCTGCGAGCATGGCGAGTGTAAGTACTTTCTGCCTTCATTTCATTATACCAGATAACTTCGTTCATTCAGAGGGTGACAATCGAGCCCTGAAGTAATTTACCACGTACTAATCAACGTTTCACAGTTGTCCCTTGGCAACACTCCAAACGGTTCCCAGCTTCTGCGAGCAGCTGCTGGCAGTCAGATTGAGAACCGCTCGCAATCATCTATGAGTAACGCCTATGAAGGTACTCGTACAGCTAGTTCGGACGTATGGTCTACTCGCGACTCAAGACGTCGTGCAGGTCCTGCCATACAGTACAATACATATGATGCCAATGGAGTACGCCATTCTCAAGAAAAAGCAATGACCTTGACTTCTCGAGCTACTTCGGCTGTTGGTGCATCCAGCGCAACTTCTGTTGCCAGCGGTCCTACTCTTGCTACTCGCCCAGTCACTCAAAGTCCAGCCGCCACTGCTTCTCGCTCTTCACAAGTCACAGCTCCTCGCGTGGTTGTTAACCAATCCACTGGTTGGGCTAAGCCTGTAAGTCTCTTAACATGAATGCTTGGTTTCACTCTTTCCGCTATATCACTTATTTTGTAATGTTATCAAATATGCTAATAGAACTTTTACTTTCAGATCGGCACTCGTACTGCACAACCAGCCAATCCAGGTGCTCTCACTGCATGGGCTCCAGAGTCGAATGAGGGTTACCGCAGATCGGCCTACGACTCCAGCGATGACGAAATGTGAATGAAATGACTATTGGAAGGTTCGAAGCCTGCCTATCTGCTTGGTTGCTCCCCCGGGCACCATGGTTGTTTGCGGAGGAGAGAACACTTGCAACGACTTCATGATGTTTTTCAATTAAGGCTCCTTAATTGAGTGAGCGACTTTCTATCAAAACGATGGCTTTTCTTTCCATAAATCAACACTAGCTTTTCTATCTCCTCTCTGAACACTGTTAACTTTGGCGTTGCTCTCGGGCTCCGTACACGACATGCGGTGGTTTCATGGCTTTGGCTTCGACTATAGATGCTGGCAAGTGAGCTTTGTTGGTAATGCGTTGCTTTAGTTAGTTAATACAAGCGGGTTATTTACAAATAAAGTGTTATTAGTGATATGCTATTGTATGCTCTATTCATTGTAGAAGTTCTCCCAGGCCTCAGTGTTTTGGGAACTCATATTCAATGAAGTCTTTTGATATAAGTTTTCAATGGGATGATCTCTCAAGGATGAATCAATAGCTATTTTAGGCTTCACCCTTCTTAGGATGTATAGCAATAGGTAATATAAAGTGCTACCTACCATTTGATCTTTCATGGGAGCTTTGATATACTATCAGAATAGGCTAACGCCCTTTCATAGAGGGAGTTTGGTTTAGAGGTTTAGAAGGTGAGTTTTAGGTTGGTAGATGATAGAGTGGTTGTATTATATAAAAAGAATTTAGGGCGGGGGGATACTGAGATGGGGATGGAGATGAAGATTAGACGTGGAGATGTGGATGTGGAGATGTGGATGTGTTTGAATGTACTTGTGTTTGTGGTAGGAGGGTGTTGATTAGTGGGTACATTTTTTTTCCCTGGGAGGTTGTGATTTTGATTGTGTTTGTGTTTGTGTTTGGGGGTGATGATGGGTGATGATGGGTTGGATTGGGGAATTGAGGAAGAGGGGAGGAGGGGAGGATGTATTAGAATGGGAGTATGAGTATCGATGGGATATGTGGGGAGAATGAAATGGGATGGGAGAGATGAGATGAGAGAGATGGGATGAGAGAGATGGGATGAGAGGGATGGGATGAGTGAGATGGGATGAGAGAGATGGGATGAGAGAGATGGGATGAGAGAGATGGGATGAGAGAGATGGGATGAGAGAGATGGGATGAGAGAGATGCATTGGAATGGGGATTGGGATTGGGATAGGGAATTGGGAATTGGAATACTTTGAGTTGTGGGAGTGCGAATGGGTGTGTGAAATGCAAAATGAGAATGAGAATGAGAGTGAGATAGGTGAGAAGGAATAAGATGGGATGAAATAAGAGTTGGAAGGCTGTGGTTGTTTTTATGAGTATTTGTATGAATGTAGGGACTGGGTGGTGGTTGTTGTGGCTGTAGGTAGATGTTAGATGGATGTCAGGTGTGTTTGAGATGTGAGATTTGGTATGTATGTATGTATATGGACAGGTAGAATATTCACATGTAGGTAGAATATTTACATACTCATTGGCTGCTTAATATATACTGGGATTACAACGATATAAATGACGATGTATGGCATGATGCATGGTATGATAGATATGAAAACTATACGGACAGACAGATAGATAGACGGATAGATAGATAGATCTTTTATACCCGGATATAGGGATTTCGATGTGTGGATGGATGGGTGATTGGTTTGTGTGTGTGTGAGTGAGTGTGAGTGAGTGAGTGTGTGAGTGATAAATACTATTGTTATTGTAACTTACCTACTGGTAAGGAATTAACCTTAGTAATCAAGTAATAGGAAAGATATCTATCTAATCGGAGCGGATTTTTTAGTATGTGATGAAGGATAAGGATGTGATGTGATGTGATGAGATGAAATGAGATGGTGTAGAAGAGGGTGTTGGATTTGGATTTGGATTTGGATGAATTGGGGAATTGGTTGTGGGTGGGTAGGGAATTGTGTTTATTGGGTGAGAGGAGAGGTAAGTAAGATTAGGGTTGTGTTGTGTTGTGTGGTAGCTTTTGAAGGGATTGAATTGAATTGAATTGAGATGAATTGAGTGAATTCAAACAGAGTGGAAACGTGGCGGGGATGATTTTATGTGTGTTGTGTTATTGTGGTAGTTGTATTGGTGGACTACGTTATGCTACGCCCTGCTATGATGGGATTTTGGTGGGGGAGTGAGGGGAAGGAAGAGGTGTGGGAGGGAAGGAGGGAAGGAGGGTGAGAATTGGGTGTTTGGTGATGATGTAGGTACGTATCTATGTATGTAGGTCTGTAGGTATGTATTATGTAGGTATGTAAAGGAAGGCTGGTTGTTGGTTGGTTGGCTGATGGATGGGTGGGATGGTAACTGGTCAAGTAGGTGGTACCTAACTCATGAATGAATATTTTCATATATTTTATTTAAATCTTGGGAGGAGATTGATTGAAGATTGTATATAATAAGGTTAATATCTATTGTAGAATTTAATTTGAAAAGATTAATTGGAATTGAATTAATCGTGGGTTGATAAAAATGGATACTGGGAGTAGATAGCTGCTAGATAGATAGCTCAAAAGCCCTATGAAAACCCTATGAAACCCCTTTGAAAATTTCATTCCCTTTACTCGACTACCCCTCCCTACTTTCATTCTCGTTTAGAGATTGTTAGTGCCCAGGTGTGCTGTGTGGATGTGTATGTACCATGTACGTACTACATACAGAGCTCTGTAGTATGATGTACTAGCGATGGAGAAATGAACCAGTGAGCCAGTCTAGTTGTTAGTTCAGGGACGATAGTGATTATTAGTGGGTGTAAACGTGGTCAGTTTATTAGATCGTGGTGTGATGATTTCGCTTGTCCACTGGTTGGATGGTTAGAGTGGAAAGCTAATGCGTAGTCAACGGGAATCTATGGATAATGGAGAGGAAGTTTTGTCGTCGTGAAGGATGGAGATTGGCTTGGATGGGTGTTGAGACCACTGAGGGAGGGGAGGCGATGAACTAGAGGATGAGTTGGTGTTGGTAGGGTAGGTAGTCAGAATGAGAGACTTAGAAGCCTGTTCGGTTAAAACTAAATGGGGAGAACTCCCGAAGAAGGAGTTTGAGAGAGGGATCATCCTATCTTGACTTATGAGAGGTGATGCTTGCTGGAGAATAACATCTTGCGTGATGATGATGTCGATGATGATGTATTCAGGGCAGGAAGTATCTTATCATCTATCACCCATGGATCTTTTTACTTTGTAATCTTGGATGAATCAATTGATGAATTGTGATTTGCGTCATCAGGATTCTTTTACGCCGTTGTACGGAGTAACTAGAGAGTATATGTAAATATAGATACGGAGTAGATAAACCAGGTAAGGTATAGGTACCTCTATAGGTAGGCAATAATTGCAAGGATTTTTTATGATACAAAAATCACCTATGATCATATACAAAGTATTGTATTTGGACTGAGCGATGTCATCTTGGTAGATCTCTAATTCTAATCGTAATCGTAACCGTTGTATCAAATACATTTTTGTATCCAGGTCTGCTCTCGAAGTTAAAGTAAATCATCCATCCATCCATTGATGAGTAAAACAATCAAAAACAATTTTCCGCATAGCCGTTGCCCGATATATGTATCTTATGTTGGAAATTATCTCGTGGGACTCTTGACGCCAAATAAGCCAATGAATAGCCATCGACTAGGGTTTGATTGGATGTATAGCGATAGAAGAGAAGAGTCCTTGCTCGCAAGACTTGCATTGCAGTATCTGAAGTAAAAAAGTCTTGTTTTCTTTTGTTTCTTCCGTTCTGCATCGGATTCTGCACCTGCACCGAGTAGGTACCTGGTGATAAGGTATTGTATGGAGCTGACTGACCTACCTCTACTTACCTCTACCTAACTCAATCCGAAACTGGGGACGACACGACTTTCTTCGAGATATTTCTCACATTGTCCCAATAAAGCTTTTGCACATCTTGAGAAACGGTGACACCCCCCACCATATACAGCCATACCATAACCACCTCAGACTCAGAGCTTTCAAATCCCAAATTGAATATCTCGTCTTCCAAACCGTGGATCATATATTGTGTCAAGTCCAACCTCATCTTCCATTCGAATCACGAGCAAAGTATAAGACACCAGAATACCATATACCAAGCCGAAACTCAACCCCTCACTCAACCTTTATGAAGTAGCAAACGCCAAAAGAACATAGCCTCGCCTTTGAAGATGGCCCATTTTGACGCTTATGGTCGCCCTCTACGAGGCGATTCAGGGCCGGAATATGACTATGAGACCTACGAGACCTACAATTTCAATGATACCAACAGGCATATGCCTGCCTATTCAATCCCCTCGACCTCGAATAGATATCCTACCGAATCTCGAGATTCACCGTATGCTTCCCAAAGCGCATCAAGTGTACCACCACATTCACCACAACAGTCATACCCATCAAACAATAATACCATGGGAACAGCATATGGCTCCGACCGTGGCACTGCTGTAGATCACGATGCAGTATCGCCGGAGATAATTGCAGCAATCACGGAAAAGGTCAAAAGAGAACGTGAGTATATGTTGTACTTCTCTTCATTGCATGTTTGTCATTTTTGAGCGTTGTTGAGCCTCACCAAGTCGCCCATGCTTACTGAAACCTATTCACTTAGTCTTTGAACATCTGAAGCAAACAGGCTCCATTGATGACCAACCGCGAGCCTCATATATGCAACGCGAATATTCCGAGAAATCCAACTCTACAAATCAATCTCCTCCCCCTCTAGATAACCGCAGAGTTTACACTCCTCCTTCACCAACTTCCACTACCAAACCAACCTTTTCCCCTCCACCTACAGAACCTATGAGATCTCCTCCGGCAAGTCCTTCCTCGGACAAGCCCTCCGTAAGGTTTAATGACCGTGATCGGGATCGTGATCGTGTTTACAATGAGCGACCGGCGCAGAAAGTTCACCGCACATACTCGACCTTGGAATTATCTACGATTGATCAAAAATGGGGTCGATTGTTCGATAATGATTCTCGGCCTACGGAAAGATTGGGACAGTTCTTGAGAGGACTTGCGAATCATATTGTTAGTCTTCCTATTCTTTGATGAGGCATTTGGGTGTGACAAGGCTTTCGCCGAATCATTTCATTTTCATTCCAATCTGAGGCTGTGTTGAATGTCCTACTGACATCATTCACAGGTCGATGATTTTGCGCCTAAAAGGAGCATTGTGATCACACCTTCGAAAATGGCAACATATTATAGCTCGTACCCTATTAACAACAAGGAAATTCATCCATATGTTTGTAAGATTTCCCAGTCTATATCTTAGCTCTACCCATGCTCACAGATCTAGCTATTTTCAAAAATTTGTCCAGTACGCAAATATCGAAGCTATACCAAGATCTGGGATGTCAACATCACCTCGTCCAAGAAGATTTCCATTCGGCTCCTACGATACCGGCCTTGACTCCACTTGGATTTGCACATTGGATGACGATTCAGATTTCCGCTTATCCTAGCGAAGAATCCGAGAGGTTAGGAAAAGTTGTTCTAGCTTTACCGATTAATGCCGATGGGCAAATGGTAGATGGAAAACCGGAACGTTTACCAAAACAGATATCACGCCACTTGTTACCTAATACCGGGGACCGTGAATTGGAGAAACTTATGAGGACTTCATTATCTCACTTCTCTGATGAACTTGGAATTCCTCATAGCAGCAGAAGCAAGCCAACAACCTCGAGCGTACCACTTCGTCAGACATCACCCACTGATAGATCGCAATCTCGTTCTGATGATACACCTCAACCCAGGGCCTCCTCATACACAGGCCCGACTAGCAAGCCTATAGAACGAGAACGTATGCCTTATGCTGGAGCACCTTCGGCCCCATCTGAGTCGTCGAGCGTCGACGAGGGACCAAGTGTACCGATTGAACGCGAAAGAAAACCATATTCCGCCCAGCCTGGTAGTGGCAAGACTCACACCGAAACCAGTAATCCTAATTTCCCAAACAGGCCTGGACGGGCGAATTCCACTAGCCGCGCAAAAGAGCCGCAAGAACGTGAACGTAGTCGGTCAAGACACACACGTAGGCAAAGTAATGCAAGCCAGGATAATTATAAGCCACCGCCGCTATCATCTTCGAAACGCAGTCGTAGCCCTCAATTCAAGAGCTACAGTCATTCTACACCTACCAATATTGATATTGGATCCAGCACTTATGTGCCATCGCCCGCCAGTTTCCCACCCGCCTTCGCACCCTCGTCATATGGATCGACTAATTCCTTCCCTCCGCCACCTTCTTCAGATATGCGGGACTCGAGAGACAGGCGACGAGATGATCGGTCTCATCGCAGAGGAGCAGAAGATGATCGTTTCTCAAGTACTACCCATATCAATGATTTCTCAAGTCCGAGAGATGCCGAGAAATGGGATAGGTTACACGAGGGACTAGATTCGAGAAGTAGCGATTATGACCGTGATCGACCCACTAAAACTACGGGCTCTGCATACAGTGAACACACAACTAGGAGCTCGTATATGGAACCCACAGTCGGCGCTGATTATGAAGATTGGTATCGAGGTAGTGGGTTGGATAAGAGTATGAGGAATAGTATGTATTACTGAAGTATTGTGGGGAAAGCACTGTAACCTCTGGGGGTTATGTTAACGAATGATTTTTTATTGATGATATGATATCATATGATGATGAAAGATGAGAGATGAAGTTTATGGATTGAGATTGACGTTGTCACTTTTATGTTTTGGATACGGTCGTTTTTGGATCTGGAAAATACCTGGTTCTCGCTTCTATTTTAGGCACTTGATGGGGATAAGATATGGAATTACCTTGGAAATGGATTTTGGATTTTGGATTTTGAATATTTAGGGGCTGGGAATGGAATGGATTGGATTGGAAGGGATTGGTTTCTTGGTAACATCATCAATTCATATTGGATGTATGTATGTATGTGTTTTGTCTTTTTAGCGTTGAGATTCTTAGGGTTACGCAGGTTAGCAAGTTCGATATGATACCATTATCAGAATTTTTTTATGAGATTTATGTTTTTTTTGGCTTTGACTTTGGGTTTGGGTTTCAAGTTTTCGGAATTTGAGATCTGAGATTTGAAAGTTGAATTGATTTTGGTCTGGTGTGGTATGAATTCGTTTGATGTGATGTGATGGATGTTGTTTGTGTGATTTGTGGGTTGGGATGAGGTGTTTGTATCGTATTGTATTATAGTATACGTTATTATATTATTATGATATATATGCATATATGCAGTTGGAGGTTTTGGTATGCGATGATTTTATAGAGTATGGATATGTTATGAATATTATGTTACGTTCTGGGAGGGAGAGAGGGAGGTGTGGGAACTTGGAAGAGGAGGCGAGGGGTCAGCGAGTAAAGGAATTGGAAAGGGAGGGAGGGAGGGAGATTAGAGAGTAGATAGGTATATATTATTTTTGTGCTATCTCTATCTCTATTAGATGAATAGGTAATAGATAATAGATAGATTAATACTAAACTAGTCAGTTCGATCTGGATGTGGTGCAGTGGGGATGTTTGTATGTATTTTTGTATTTTTGTATTTTTGTATTTATTTGGCTAGGACCATTAGGTAGGTGAGTAGGTGGGTATCCAAGTATCTAGCTAGCTAGATAGGTATCTATGTAATGAAGAGATTGATTTCTTCTTTATTCTTTCTAGTTACTAGTCTGGTATGATCTGATGCGTGTGGGCTTTTGATAATTGAGAATTGAGAATTGAGAATTGAGAATTGAGAATTGAGAATTGAGAATTGAGAATTGAGATTTGAGGAATAGAATGGATTAGAATGGATCAGATTAGATCAAATTAGTTTCTTATTTTACTTCATTTCATTTTTCTTCATTCATAGTAGAAGAGAAGAGGTGAGGCGAGGCGAGGCGAGGGAAGGAGAGATACAAGGAGATTCTGCTTTCCTGCTTTACTTGTGTGTATAAGTCGGATACCCCACTTTCTGGCCACCCCCCTTTTGGGCCACTTTTTATACCCAAAATACACCAAAAATGGAATTTTTAACTTTCTTATTCATGGATAGAATTCAATGAAAATTTGTGTATATATAATTTAAATCGATTTAAGCTTATTCTGAAATTTTTAGATTTTAGGATTTTTCTGTATTGAGAGCTAGAGCTTCAAAACATCGTTTTCTAAATTTATATGGGAATCACATACAAATTTAAATTTCTTATAAAATCTTTAATAACTTTTTAATAAAAATTGCTAAAAATAAACTATATAATTTTATTATAAATTTATAGTATTTTTAATATAAGAGATTCAGAAAAAATAGAAAATTTCTTATAAATAAATATTTATAGGGGTACCCTCAAAATGACAGGGATTATTTATACTATTCTAAACTCACCATATACTATATCTCTATATCTGTTAATTTTTCTTAATTTTTTTTTGAATTTCTATATAGATTTAAGTTCAAATCTTTCAAAAAGATATACAGTTTTCTTTTAATAATTGTTGTTAAAAAGTTATTAAAGGTTTTATAAAAAATTCTAAATTTGTATGTGATTCCCATACAAATTTGAAAATCGATATTTTGAACCTTTAGCTCTCAATCCAGAATAGTCCTAAATATCTAAGAATTTCAGAATAAGCTTAAAACGATCTAAATTATCTATATATAAATTTTCATCAAATTATATTTTATATTCATAGAGATATTAATAGGCCTAAAAAGTGATTTTTGGTGTGAAAGGGTGGCCCAAAACAGGGGTGGCCCGAAAGTAGGGTGCCCGACTTATTCATATATTCATATATCCATATCCATATATATATATATCGATACCTAGGTATCACTAGATATCTATTGTGATTTCTCCTCCTAAATACCAATCCAATCTAATTCACTGCAATCCGAACTAGTATATACCATCACACGCCATCACACGCCATCTCATCCCCTCATCTTCTATAGTATCTCATCTCATCTCATCTCATTTACTTTATTTTATTCATAATCGATACCATACCATACCTACATACGTAACATATAAAGTAAGCCAGCCAGCCAACCACCCCAATCTCATTCTCATCCTCGTGCGTATCTCGCTCTCGCTCTCAAGTTTCGAGATTTCGATCTTCGAAATCATCCACGTTTCATGATGAAAGGGATATAAACACAGTGATGTGCATATCCAAATATATACAAAAGTCTCCAACCAACTCCATCATTTCTATCTCTTCCCTAGTCCACCATTCCATCCCATGCCATCCGATCTAAAACCCTCTCAATCTAGTATCGCCGCAAGTTTTCACACCTCTTTTCTTGTCTACAACCCAATATTCTTTTTTTCTCTTCTCTTCCTCTAAACCTCCCCCCCTTCACCCATAAAGACTCCTTCCATCCCACTCCCTCCTCTTCCCTCATTAATCATACTTTCCGCATCACCGACTTGTTTCCGTTCCGAAACCTCTCGCATCCCCATTCCTGCTTTTCCTTTGCCTAATTTCAAATTCATTTGTTTATGTCCTAGACCCAGCGTCAATCCTCGGGATATACCGTCTCCCCCCCTTGAGCGCGCCCCGCCAATATCGGGAGGGGACTGTGTTTTCCAGGTATCCCTCATGACTGCTGATTGTTATTGGAGAGGCTCCGAACTCGAGGAAAGTCGGTTTAGGTGAAGGTATACATCTGTTCCGTAGCTATTTTGCAGTGAAGCTGGTTAGTTATTGCAAACCTGAGAAAAAAAGATATAAAAAATACTTGTGAAACATACCCCTCCATACTAATCAACTTCAGATCTCCTCCAAAATATCTAGCGTATAATCTTGAAATTGGGAGACCGTAACCAAATCCTGCCATTGGAGCTTTGAAATCACTCTTATCGAAATCTGGATCTAGACTGGGTGTACTGTCCACGGTGGTATACATATAGGTCAAAACTAAAGGTATAGAACTTCTAGGTATTCCGCCACCCTCGTCTGAAATTTTGATTGTAATATCCTCTTTTCCCTCCGCAACGACGACTTTTGTGACGGGAAAATCTTGCTTGTCCTGTCCATGTGTTTCGACAACAGCTCGAAGGGAATTTTTGAGAGTTTCGAAGAGCATATGCGAGAGATGGCCGGGTACATACATAAAATGAAGATTTGGAGGGCACACCAGTTGAATCTTTGGCGCATCAAAAAGCCCATAATGGTCTTCGCAGACAAATCTAGCGTTTTCGATTGCTTCTTCCGCAAGATCTCGAACATTGGTTTTCGTACATATAATACCTACATAATTAGGATCTTTATCGTGACTTTGATCTGTGAGTGCTATGTGTTGTCCAATGAGCATTCTTATGCCAATACGGGACATGTAGAAACGGTCGAGGAAAGATTGTATGTTATTATCGATCTGCATGCGTTGCCGTTTCCGCTTATATTCAAGTATTCCTTGCGCAACGGTTGTGACAACTCCGTCGTGCCGCCTCTTTATATGGTTAAGGGTTTGTGCGAATCTCTGGTTATAATCGTGAAGCTCTGGAGGCCAGTCTGTACTATCTTCTACTGTGGCAAAATATCTTCTTGTTGCGGCCGACTTTGATTCTTTTCCTTTTCCATTTCCATTAGAGCTGTATTGCCCCCTCATTACGCTCGGGTTTTGTGTTGCTTCCGCAAGAATCTTGGATGGCTTTCCATTTATTTTCGCAGGCTTCATAAGTCTTTCTTTCACATCTGATGACAATTGTGGTCGAGGGAGCGTGGTAATTTCCTTTCACATGTCAATTCACGTCGACATTTGTGGGTGGATAAAGAGTCATACCTCAAATGACTGTGCGTACCAATCCTTCACCCTCTTGATTGAGGGCATCTCATTGAGGCCATCTGGTAAGTCTGATAGTTCTTGCACTCGATGCGCAAGTCGTATTGGAAGTTCCTCGGAGAGGAATTGTGATGCTCGGAAAAGTGTACCTATTTGTAGAGCAATATCTGATTAGCTTAGGAACCATGGCAGAATCCCCCCAGACCCAGAATATAATCTAATAGCTTACCTGTAGATGGCCTCTCTCCAAATTGTACCATCTGCCTCAGACTCACACCCGTAGCTGGGAAATGTGAATAATGTTTGATGGTATCCATCAACATCTCAGTTGTCTTCCACGACATCTTGTTTAATTCCTTTGGCCCTAGGGCCCCTAAAATGTGATCTTGACCCCTTCAATAGTCTCGTATTTCAGTCTAACATTAGTTGTCGTTGGCGGTATTGAAGTCTTTACAATCTTTGAATAACTTTTGAGTTTTCTCCCCGCGTTCGTGATATCCTGGGAGTCGAGTGAGTACCTTTACTCAGATGACGCAGAGCTAACCTAATGCTACCGAGGCAAAACGAAGGCGGTGATTGGTGAATTGACAATTGGAAATAGTAAGGTTAAAGGTAGGTAGGTAGAGATGGAGAGAAGAAAGAAAGAAATGGTATCAATTGATTGTTTGCAAACAAATCCAAATCTTATTTTTCTCTAATTGAAAATTGATCGTGTGCACATGTACGATGATTAGATGGAATTAATAGGTAGTCATGTTCTCATCACATATGAAAGTGCCATATTACCGGTACGAGATAAATCTGCAGCAAATG